AAAAAAAAAAAAAAATCTACAAATTGAACCAAATTTTAAAATTTCAAAATCAACGGAACTCGGAACAAAAAAGATCTAACTCAACCCAATTTTTATAATTTGGATTTAGTCGAAATTCGTTGAGTTATCGAGTCATATGAACACGACTCTCTAAAATGGTATAATATTGTCCACTTTCAGCATAAGCTCTCGTAACTTTGTTTTCGCTTCCCATAAGGTCTCACACCACCAATGAAGAGAGTATTATTTTATTATAAACTCAAAATCATTTCCTAAATAAGCCTATAGGAGACTTTCAAAGTTTAGGGCATGACTCTGATACCATGTTAGATGAACACGACTCTCCACAATGGTATGATAGTGTCTACTTTGAGTATAAGACCTTATGTCTTTGCTTTGGGCTTTCATGTCTCACATCAATGTAGAGAGTATTCTTTTATTATAAACTCATGATCATTTCCTAAATGAGTACGACTTTCATCCTCCAACAAACCTAAGCCTAAATATAATATATATTTAGGGGGAGGGGAGGGGAAGATGAGCGTACTAAAGCTTTTGTAACGGTTGCTCCATTGCCGAGTAATTGTTCTCTGAAATTAAGCCCTCTGTAATGAACATCCACATTGCAGTTCAGAGCAACCTAAAGCAAAATACTCAACCATTCAATCCGCAATAGGAGAATTAATTTACAGACAAATTCTTCCATGGAAGCTCCAGAGTTGAATGCAAATAACAAATAAACCTTACCTTCATCTTGATCACAGCCATATGAAGCACAAACAGCTCTACACCAATATCGCCAATGATTTTCATCTCAACGAACTCTGGCGTCGCATCGAACAAATCGACATTGAATCGATGCAGCAGAAGACGAGTTCGAACACTCCGATCGTCACTACGAGCGGGCTGGAACACTTCGGGGACTCGTATGGTTCCGATCATGGCGTTTCCATCGTGGATCAGGAGAAGCCTCGACGGACTATACTTAATGCCGATTTTGTTAGGGTTTTGAGATTTGAGAGTCAAGGTGAAAACCGAAGAAATAAATGGAGAGCCAGAGTTGAGGCTAATGTTGTACCAATCCAATCGCAGTGATTCGAGAGAAAAGATCGGCTGTCGAGGCTTTAACAGGAAGATTACAGGCAATGCGGCGATGGCGATCGCGATGATCGAGAAGAGAGCGATGAAGAGGAGGAAAAGGCAGAATCGTTTCAGAGTATAAAGCGTACAGATCTGGTGGCAGCAAAAGCGATTGGAAAATCGAGTTCCAGATGCGAGAACATCCATTGACGGCCATTTTGGAGACACGAAGAACACGGATTAAATCAAGAATAATAGCAACTTCTAATGGCGGAATTTGGAATTTGATTTCTTGCTTAAGATTCTTAAACTCTCTATTGTTCTTCGAAGGCTTGCAACTTGATGTAAAAGTAACGAATTTTCGTAGTATTCTTGAGAACAAAATTAAGAATCTGTTTTTCTTTAAAATAATAATCAAGAAAATTACAAGTGTTCTTAACTTAATCACGAGATTGAGATGATTAGATTTTATTTTTCTGATGGTACATGGAATAATTGCCTATAATGCTGCAATTGGAAGATTGATATTTCAAAATATATAATTATTAAAAAATTGAAGTTAACATAGAGAAAAGAGGGACAATTTTTGGGTTAATTTATGGAGCTGTTTTTTTCAATTATTTAAATAAATTTACTATATTAATAATTAAATATTAAAAAATCACGACTCTCTACAATAGTATGATATTGTCATCTCATGGTTTTGCTTGATGGTCCTCTCATAAAGATTATCCTCTCATGGCAAATGTGTGACTAAATTAACCAATGTGTGACTCACACCCAATAATCCACAACATTAAAACTTTGGTATATTGTGTTGTAAAAAAAAGTACACTAATTTGCGAACATTCAACCCAACTCAACATTTATAGTTTAGGTTATGTAGTTCAAATTGGTTGAGTTATTGGGCTATATGAACACCCTTAAATAAGAACCCAACTCAACATTTATAGTTTGGATTATGTAGTCCAAATTGATCAAGTTATTGGGTTATATGAACACTCTTAAATAACCCAACTCAACATTTATAGTTAAGTTGTTAGGTTATATGAACCCCTTAAATAAGACGCATTAACCAAATGAACTTATATGTAAATCTATCTTTAATGATTTTCTTTATTAATTATATTATATATTTAGATAATATGTTAAAAAAAAAATTAACTATCTGAATCTAAAATCATGATATAAACTAACAGTATTTTATTCCTTAATTTTGAAAAGTTTGAAGTCTTTTGAGAAAAAAGGTCGAATGAAATCACATGCAAGAAACAGCTTAAAATAGGAACTTGCTCTGCACTTGCAATAACATGTGAGTGGGAGAATAGGGCCAAACCACAAAACGAGGATGCCATGCTCAACAAATGGCCCATCCATGACTTTGACCTAACCAGAGCCAAACTGATCCCACGCTTTTCTCCTCCTCCATTACAAACCCTAAACATCTTCACAATCCCATCATCTTTCAAAGCTGCAATTTCAAAAGAAACACATAGAAACAGATGAAACAATGAACATGATCTACAAAAATTCTAGCTCAAAACTTCACATAAACAGGATAAGATATAGGTATGCCGAACCTCTCGGTTTCGGTTTATGAACACTGAAGTATGGAAGACATCTGAAAAAGAAATGAATAGCACAACCATTCTAGCTCAAAACTGTAAACAAACAGGATAGGATAAGATATGATGAGACCAAGAAGCTTCATTCGCACCCGAACAAACATTTTGCTTAGTACAAAACAATAATCGAACCTCTCGGTTTTGGTTTATGAACTATAAAGTACGGAAGAAATCTGAAAAGAAAAGAATGTCACAACCATTCAAGCTCAAAACTGTACACAAACAGGATAAGATATGGCTGGGATCCGAGAAGCTTCATTCGTGCCCGAACAAACATTTTCATTGCATATTTGCTTAGTACAAAACAATAATCGAACCTCTCAGTTTCGGTTTATGAACTATAAAGTACTGAAGAAATCTGAAAAGAAAAGAATAGCACAACCATCCATTCTCATTCACACAAACACGAAAGGCAGAATTGAGATTCATCAAGTTTTCAACATCCATAGCAAGCCAACAACATGTAGTCTATCATCATCAGTACAAGCATATATTAGTTTTGAGATTCCCATATTATGGTCTGAAACATGAAATGTAGCCTACCAAGCAAGTCGTACTACATGTCCTCACAACATACAAACCAATAGCCATGTTTGTTGTTAAGCCGTTGCTTATGCAGGCAGATCTCTCTCACGTCCATTGCCATAACAGAGGACAAATGTTCCTGCAATAAGTTTATGTAAGAAATTCAAGCTTTTACAAGCAAAACAAACAAAGGAGATGATCATCCTGTAGGAAGGAGTATACATTTTTTTTTTTTTTGAAAAAGCTGGAAAATTTAGGGAGGAACTGATAAAGATGTCAAAAACTCACTAATATGTAGCTTTTATTTACATAACCTAGCAATCTGGACAAGATTTGCTTAGAAGGCACTGCCGACCATTCCCGAAAAATCATCGAAGGACCAAAGGTCGACTGAGTTTACGCCATCCTGGTTTCCTGTCTCGCCTGCAAGGAAGGCATCCATTGATGCATCCCAGCTGCCATCAAGATATGGCATCTGGAAGTATTTCATCTCAGACTCAAAAGAAGATAACTCCTCAGATAAAGTCTTTCCAGAGCCTTGAGAAACCTCCATAGTCTCTGGGCTATACTTAACTTTCTTGCTTGGAGATGCATCCTCCACAAAGTAAGAATCTTCATTCTCCATGGAAGCTGAAAGAAAGGACGAGATTTCAGGAGTCTTTGCACCCTGCTCTCCCCATCCAAAGTCAGAGTACTCAAAGGAATTGCTCCCTTGATCTGAATTGAAGTACATAGGTGCAACATCAGAAGAAGGTGGACTGGTTTTCATTGCAACATCTGCGTTAGCAGGGAATAAATTCATGTTGACGAGTTGATTTGTAAGCGGTTTTTCGTCCAAGAAACTCACGGTGCTATAGTAATCTTCATCAGAGTTGTTCACGAAACCATTGTTCTGGATTTGATCTGATTGGGTCTTTGCCAAACTAGTTTTAATTACTGGTTCCTGAAGGTTTGTCTTTGCTGAACGCTTTCCATTAGTTCGTGGAGCTTCATTGGGAAAATTGACCTTAGCTTTCTTTCCACGAATTCGTCGTGCTTCAGCATCGTATGCTCGAGCAGCTTCTTCAGCAGTATTAAAAGTGCCAAGCCACACACGGACTCCTTTCCGTGGATCACGAATTTCTGCTGCCCATTTACCCCATGGTCGCTGTCGGATTCCCCTGTACTGATTTTTTCGCTTTCTTTTTGCAGATTTTTCAGCTTGACCAGAGAATTCTACAGATTTTGAAGCTGCAAAATGTATACATCTTTTTAAAATCAATGAAGAAGAAAGAATAGACAGATCGGGAGGAGGGAAAAACATAGCAACAAAATTGAATCCATCCCTGTCCAGAAATAAAAGGATTTAAGGGATCCAGAAACTACAAACGACAGGAACGTGGAAAATGTTAGGAAAAGTTAACTGATCATCCACTTTTTTTCAAATATCCATTGGGTACGATAAGATGAATAATTGGAAGGACCACCAAAACAAACAAACAAAAAAAGAACAGAAAGAAAATAATAAGAACAAAAATTCGGTTCAACGCATTTTATGAATGTTCAACCAATAAGATGAATTGACTAAGCCACAACTTATATGGCAATTACGTTAGCCGATCCAAAAAAGTTGAGAACTCAGAAGAACTTTCATTAATATAAAAAAAAAAAAAAAAAAAAAATGTAAAGCAGTAAACATCATGTAACAAATTCGATCATGTGGTAATCTCATCAATATTTATGGTACTACTAAGAAAAATCTAAAAATTCGAGGCATAGAAGCTTGATTTATAATCAAATAAAAATGTAAATCCATGGTTATTGGCTAGATCTATCACTCCCGTCCTTTTTTTTTAAAAAAAAAAAAAAAAAAAAATCAGTAAAAAGGTTCTCAGTTTATTCCTCAAAAGAATTCGTTTCTGCAGCTCGAAACCTAATGATCAGAAAGTGAATTTCCACATGAAAGAACATGCTCCCCTAAACATCTATCAAAATCAAGAAGGCAGTAACGGATCTACCACAAACCAGCTGAATGTCGAAAACAGAAAGAGAACAAACGGAGGCCATGCATTAAAAGTCACTGAACAGAAATTAGATAGACTACCGAACAAGAAGCAGTAAGGCGTAAAATGAACATCAGAACAGCAATCAAAGGAAGCTTAGCTTAGGAAAAGAAAGTTACCACGAGCAGAAGGAACGGCAGGGCTTCCACCAGCAGAGAAGGCAAATGATTTGACATCAACGAGCTCTTCCACATCAAATTCCAAATCGGAATCGTCCTTGAAATGCTGGAAATCCGTCTCGAAATCATCATCAATGTCAATGATATCAGACTTAACCGGCTTGGACAATTGATTTCCGAAGCCAGGTTTCTTGAGGTTAGGCCAAAGATGTTCGCCGGTGACTCGCCGGGAGTGAGTCGTCGGAATAAAGTCGGAGATTAAAGCACCTCCACACATTCTTCAAGAAGAAGACAGTTAACTGAAAGGATTTTGAGAGAGAAAAAAGGGTGGGAAAGTTGGGAGATTATCGATTCTTGGAAGAGAAACTGAAAGAGCTTTGGAATTGAAATGAAAAATTTAGTTGTTGGGAAGTGAATTAATTTTAAGCGGAAGGGATTCTTTCTTTAGGGTTTTAATCAAAAGGTTAGGTGGGGTGAGTTCTTCCTGAAAGAAAGTGAGAAGAAGTAGGCACATTGCAAGTGGGGCCCACTCATGTAAAATACCCATTTTACCCCTTTCTTTATGCCGTCAACTCCACAGTTTGTTCCCTTCCACCGTCGACGCCACGACAAAAATATGATTTATTTTAACTTTTTTATTTTTTATATTTTTCTTTTCCCTTTTCAGAAATAATAGAACGAGACAGCGTTACATTATTGTACCTTATTCTAAGGAAAAATACATTTTGTGTATTATAAATTTAATATCCATTCGTCCGTGGATTTACTTATAATTAATTAATAAAAATATCGCGAAATTTTGTATTTTGTTTAAAAAAATATTTATAAATTTTTTTAAAATATTACTATCCATCTTATATAATAAATTTTAAAAAAATAATGTATTTGTATCTTAATTTTTCTTTTCCCATTCAAATAAATTCTTGTCTTTCTTAAGTAACACCATAGAAGTAAATTTGAGAATTATAGATAAATATAATTTTTTAAAATAATTAAAAAAAAAAATTCAACGGATCTTCATACCTTTATTCCAGTTAAACTAAAAATTTTCAACTGAATTCGTGTACACCTCTGTTTTTTAATTCATCTAACATGTCAGCTTGTTGATCAAAAGTATATGTTTTAACTAATTGAGATATGCTCAAATTTATCCAATTTTTAAACTAAGAATTCAACACAGGTAAAGTATACATGAATAATCAATTCGAGTATAATTTTAGTAGATAAAAATATTAATTATCATATGAAAGTTCGGTGGATACCGAGTTATGGGTATATTCTCGAGCACATCCCTTCCTCTTTCTCTCTCTTTGTAGCATTTTCCATGTGACATTCTTCATGGGTTGTGGGATTCAAAGGCGTAGGGCTTGTCTGCCTAATTTTATGCCCTTATAGTCATGTGTTTAGGTTCATGATAAAGAAAAAAAAAAGTAGTTTACCAGACTTGACTGCACCACAACGACTATTTTTATTTTGACACTAAAATTTTAATCAATTATAGCCCACTCGTACCGTTTGAGTTAGGTTACGAAGTTATTTAATGTGAGATCCTCGATAGACACAAGGTAGTGTACCAACGAAGACACTGGACATCGAAGGGGATGGATGAAGATCCTACATTGTTGGAGAGAGGTACGAGTGCAAGCAAGGACACTAGATCCCTAAATGGGATGGATTGTGAGATCTCACATCGATTGAAAAGGAGAACGAAACATTTCTCGAAAACTTCTCAACTGCAAACACGTTTTAAAATTTGAGGGAAGAAAAACAAAAAAAAAAAAAAAAAAAAAAAAAAATTAA